AGTTTAGTGTTGAAGGAATAAGAACATATTATATATATTGTGTTGTTATATGTCTGAAGTTCATTTAGGTGGAGAATTAATATATTGTTTTGATTACATTTAGCTCTTTCAAAGTTTAGTAGGGTGTTTCAGAGTTATAGTGGTTTCACTCCCTCCTTTTTTTCTTCTACTGAATTGTTGTGACTTCTTTTCTTGTACTCCTATTCATGGAGTTTGGGAGTTTGTGACTGCAGACACGTACACCAGCTAAAAAGAGGTTAGATGGGAGAGGACAGAAAGGGATGCTTTTTGGTGCTTTGTAGGAAGTTTATATTTATAAGAGAATAGAGACAGGGTGGGGCTGTTTTCCCTCATCATTTTCATGACCAAACCATAAATATTTTAGCTGTAAATAAGTTCATAAAATGTAGTTATTTATCTACCGTGCTGGGTGGAAAACTACTAAACAAATAAGATTCTTATTCCACTTGTATAATAGTCTCTGATACTAATTCACACACACACACACACACACACACACACACACACACACACACATAGATGGATGGATATCTATAGCTAGAGATAGGTGTGGGAATTATAAAGTACAGTAGCAATTCACATAAAGGCAGGGATTGTGGGGGATGCTGCCAGAGGCTTTTGGCAGCAAACACAGGCAAGGAGAACGGCACAATACCCTGAATAAAAAGAATCAAAAGAATTGCTGAAATAATCACTCACTAACACTCCCTCTTAAAGGCATCACTAATGGTCACAACCTGCTATTTGTCCCAGATGGATTTCTAAATATCTAGGTTAAATAGTGAAAGTAACATTATGAGGCAAAGAGAACTGCATGTTTGATCCAACCTTTATTAGATATTGGCCTTTGAAGATGTAAAAACAAAGTATCGATTTGTCAAGGGACCTTCAGAGCTTTACTGCAGTCACATCTAAAATATCCATCCCTTTGTTTAATGCCTGTTTGTTCTGTTCATGGTCACAGGGGACTAATAAGGTAATAGACTCTGGACAACATGTATTCACTAGACCTTCATATTCACTTTGATAGTTGATTCATCAAACTGCACAAATAAACTGACACAGAATAAACAGTCCATGCACTTTTATTTAATTGTTTTTTTTAGTCTGTTTGCCTTTCTCATGCGACTGTGGCTGTGTTTGTTGTCAGCATGCCGTGTCATCTTGTGAAAGAGCATGTCAGAAATTGATTTTTTTTTTTGTTTCCCTTGGATCCAAGTAACTTCTCAGACTTGGTGCAGGTTCCTATTTGCCATGATTATCTGTTAGTAGGCCAACATCCAGCAACCAGATGTCACCAGAATCCAGATTTATACACTTCCAAGTTTTGTGCATGACTGCAACCAGCTCTCTCACGTGTGTTTCCATAGTTTTAGTATAGTATAGTTGTAGTAGATAAGCAATAGTAGTGGGGGAGCTTTTAACAAGTGATTTTTCTCAAAAAGAGTCATTGCTTATATGGAGGTTAATCGTTTAGATTAATTTAGATATATGAAAAATGCAAAGACAACAACTACTTGTGATTTCTGCAGGTTTGAATCCAGTCCTTTGTTTCTTTTAACTGATACAGGGTCAAGGATGCCACATGCTTGCTTCCTTCCTTGCATTTGTTTCCTCTTCACATGTGTCTCTGTGATGGCTGTTGGTTTTATGTAAGTGCTGCTGGTAACTCCTAAATGAGCGTTTGATTAGGAGGGCATTCAGTATTCACTCAGATGCTGTGGTATTGACATTGAGCATCTGCTCTTGGCCCCAGTGCTGCCCAGATGCCAGGCAATATAGTCAAATCACACTCTTCCAATGAAATCTACTTAAATTCCCTGTAGTGGGCCATTTCTTACTCTGCCAATGGACTCAAGCATTCTGCAGTTAAGCTCAAGCCATCTCTAAGCGTATTAGATCACACAAGAGCAAAGTATGGCCAGTAGACTGTCTTAGACTGGGGTGCTATGTAATAAAATCAAATAAAAATGAAATCCACAGACCAAAAATCATGTTAATGGTGATTTCAACAAATCAATCCGTCAGCTATTTTTAACGGAGAGGTTATTATACGGAAGAGTTGCACATTAAATCTTGTTTTACTGTGAAGAGGGACAATAAAGGAATTCTATCCAGTTCATCTGTCCCTTGGACTGTATGTTTCAGTATCACACAACATGCCAGACTGCCAGTCTTAGATTGTCCTGGGACATTAATATTCTAGGAACGTATTGATGCAGAGTTGTATTAGGGTTGAGTCTATCAAGACAAAAGAAGTTAGATTTTTTTTTTTTTCACTGGGAAATATTTGACTGCTCTTTGGAAACAAATGGAACTGTCTGCCTTGAGTTCACATTTATAACATAAGTGTATGCGCACTAAGTTTCACTCATGACGTGTGCAGTGGTACATATTTGACAATCAGTCCGATATAAACTACTACTTTAGAAGTTGATGCACCATGTAATCGTTTTATTTAAGTAATCTCTTCATTGTGACGACATGTTTCAACTCATATGTCCCAGTGTGTTGCCCTTTGCTTACTTTACCTTAGTATGAACTATTTCAAAAAAAAAAAAAAAAAATTGCTCATCCTTGTATTAGACAGTGAGCTCATAATTGCTCGTAAATGTATGTAGCTCTATGTAGCTTGGTTCACAGAATTAAAAAAATACTTTATAGTAGTGTTAATGTGTTATAGATTAAATGGAGTTCATAGATTGGAATAATCAATTAAGTAAAATTACAATGTTTGCCCTCACAAGTTGATATTGATTCAGTGACCCAGGAAATCGATAATTGCATTAATTAAACACTAAAACTGTTAACTTCAATCACTTTTTCTCCCTGGAAAAAAAAATCATGGAAATGAAGTCTTTGCAGTGTTGGATCCCCTTATAGCCCTCCATTATAAAGGACTAAATTTGTTACATTTATTACAAACACAATAAATACAGCTTACAGATGTGTTTATTTTATTGTGGCGAGCATACGGAAGGAGAGATTTTTCTTTCTTTCTATTAAACTGCATTTCTGTTCATTAAGTATTTTCATTTCTCTGTGCCCTCTAACTTCTATCTGTGACTCTTTAAACAAGCCAGGCTTTTACTCATACTACCCTTTGCGATTAGACGTTGAAAGCAGTTTAGCCTTGGGACTTAACTGCCGAAGTGTCCTTTCACAAGGTCTGATGCTACATATGTAAATGCCATCATTACCTCTTCCATTACTGTCACACAAAGTCTGGTTGCATGCAACACCAACACAGTGGATTTGCAGTTCTGACAGTATACTGGAGAGCTATTAGGAGTGTGCTCCATTGTGCAAAAATGCTTTACAAGGCCAGTTATCTGCCACTGCTCCACCTGTAATACACCATTTTAAAATTGAGACTTCTGTGCCTGTCATGCACTCTTCTTTGTCTTCCATCACTTTGCGATATATAGATTGGTCTAAACTAAAGACAGGCTATTATTAAAGGAAACGCAGGAACAGATTGTTGCCCACCATGTAACATACAAGGGACAGCTCAGCAGTTTGCTTTTGGACTGTCTTTTTAATAGCTACTTTCATGGGTGACCACCCCTCACATATGCCTCGCTGTGCACTCCTAAACAGGAAAGTCAGCTGGTTTTCCTGTTGGATTGGAAAGAACATGAAAGCAAATTCTGAATTTTATGGCTATATCACTACAGATATCAAGTCAGCTTGGTTCCCATAACTGGCCTCATTTACGAGAATCTCACACACTGATTAACCTAGTTTTTGTCCTATATTCTTTTTCTGTGTGTATATGTTTTTTTTTCAGCCTCATGAATTTGACGAGTGCCGGCTGGATATGAGTGTAAACGACAGTGTGTGGTACCTCAGAGCTCAGGACCCCGAGCACAGACACCAGTGGATTGAATCGATTGAACTGCACAGGGTAAGTCTTTAATACAGCAGACCATGAACTGGTGTTATCAAAAGAGATCAAATTCTTGTCATATTTAGAGATGTCATCTCATTCAGAGATTTGTAAGTGTGTGTTTATTGTTTGCTTGTGTGTGTGCTTGTATGTATTTCTTAGAGTATCAGAGAAGGGAGGAGAGAGAAGGGAGGAGTCCAGGGAAGAATAATCATCCCTCCACCACTGGTGCGTTTGTTGGCAAAACCAAAGGAGTGTAGGAGCTCTTGTGCATTTGTCTGTAGCACAGTAGTGTTACAGCACGTGTTTCTGTTTGCACAAATTCATTATTTTTTATCCATAATTGTGTACTTTAATACTGTACTGTGTGGGCACTTTAATCCTAGACGGTTCTCTACTGGTGCGTAAGGGCTTTTTAACAAAGTAGGTATACATAGCTCAGTTATTCTAACACTGGAGTTAGCTGAGGCTTAGCACGATCCTTTTTCAAACACAGACACTGAACACAAAGGTAACTTGCTGAGGAAGCTGTTTGAAGAGCACAACTAAGATTTGTTTAAATCATTTTTGTTGACGTTACCCAGATATCTCAGATAACCCTTGACTATGCAATCTGTATTTTTTTTTTTTTTGCTTTGGCATCAGTGGCAGAGTGAATTTATACACTTTTAGAGTAGAAGTTTGTCGTTTACATGTTTTAGTGCATGGAGAGCAACAGTGGTAGCCAGCATATTTATTCCATGGATAAAAGACAGTAGTGGCTTTGAGGACACTCTTGTGTTTATATTTGTACATCCATACTACTCAATGTATGTCACATGTGTAAATGTGTTTTGCATTTTTTGCCACAAAGATAATTCTTTGTGGCATGTGTGATTTAGCATTTATGCCTGTGTTTAAAAAAAAAAAGAAAAAAAAAAAAGGAAAGAAATCACACAAACTAATTTTTAAATACAGATTTTGTGTGTGACTATTTAAAGGGGCCCTGCTACACTCATTTCCAGTGCAATATTCCTTTACCACACCTTCTGCGTCTCTGCTTAAACACATGCTGCTCACACGTGGTACTTGATTTTAGGAAATCCCCCCCTCTTTACCCTCCTCCCCGTCTTCGATCATCTAAGCACCAGTGACTCAGACAAGAATAACAAAGAATGAATCTTGAGCATATACAAGCATACCCGGCCTTCCCACCCACAATGAGTCATTGCCTAAAACCCTTCTTCTTAGAAGGCCCCACTTCCCTGTCTAAACTACATTACTCATAGCACTTAGCAACCAGCGTCTCCAGGGAGACACAACACACTACAAGCTCAGGGATCAGTCATCTTACACTTTGAAAAAGTGACACATCCTAAAATGAAGCAACTCTTGTTCCTAGGATACTGTCAGTGTTTAGATAAACTATATTTGTTTTAAGTTCTGTATGTCCAGATATATGGCCTAACGTACTGTAATCTAATCTCTTGTATCTGCCTTATACAATTATTTTATTATACTTATTCATTATTAGAAAATGATAAAGTCTGTTTCTGCTCAGGCAGAAGGCTTTCTATGAGGACCAGATGTTGCATCTTCTTTTTTTCCAAAGAGCATGTTTATATGTATTCAGTGGGGCTGTAATCACCAGGCACACTAAATATTTGTACACCTATTATTTACCCTGCAGCATGCAACCTAGTGACCTGTGCATGTGTGTGGGTCTTATTGACAAGGCATCCAACATCTGATACTTTATACTGTGTTAATTTGTATTTTCAGATTTTTATCCTACCATGGATAGAAACCCTCTACTTGCTTGGATAGTTACTTTTTTGTCATCAAACAGGTTAAAATGTCTTTATATAAACATTTAGCAAGGGCCATTTGTACTGGTTAAGTCAGTGGGGCAGCAGAATGTTGGCTAAAGGGCAAGCAGCAGTGACAGAAATCCATCTGAACACAGGCAGAGCTACTTCTGGTCACTGACCGACAGTAACCCCAAGCTCTTGTGCCTGTCATGTGCGTTTACGTTTCATGCCCTCTGCTGGCTCAACTTGAAACTATCTTTTAAAGGGACGGGTACTGCAGCTCTTGTTTCTCGTCAGTGCAGCTGAACCTTTTCTCTGTGTTGTCATTACTGTCTATTTTGAGGGCCAGTTTATTATGTAAGAGGAAAATTGAACCAGCCTGGCTTACAGGAAGCCAGCTGATATTTCAGTTGTGCTGTCATGGTCACTAAAACCTTGTCACGTGCTGCTGTTGTCACTGTGTCTGAAACATTTTCACAACAACATTAAGTGTTGTTGTACCTGCTTGAATGTAATGTGAAAAGAATTTCAGTGTTTACTTACTGTATGTTGTTTTTCAAAGGATGACACCAATTTTTATTAAACCTTTTGAAGTTTAGAATAGTAGGACTAATGGTGACTACATCTGAATACTTTATAAGGAAAAAACTAAAAAGATACATATTTGTTTTTATAAAGAACTTGGTTAGTGTCTCTAATTTTGCTTAAAGGGGACCTATTAGTGTTGCAATATGCTCATATTAAATATGGCTTAAGTGTCAAATAGATCAGTGTATTTACACATAATTTCTGAGCTTTATGCTCATCCAGGTAAGTATATCCTAAAAAGTTGATTCTGTTCATCTGGACGTAGTATTTTCAACACCACATTAATACAATATAGTTTATTTATTTATTTATTTATTTTTACAATTAATTTTTATAGTCTTTTATCATTAACTGTTGTTTTCTGTATGTGTCTGATGTATTTGTTTGTTTGTTTGTTTTGGTCTTTTTTTTTTTTTTGTCTTCCTGGAATATAGTTGCTTTGCTTTACAGCTCTCCTGTTAAATAATTACAATCCATTTTCAAAGGTGTTGTAACAAACTAAATTGTTCACAGTTTGCTGTATTTATTTTTGCAGGCTGATTCTGGTTATGGCTCTGAGTCCAGTCTGCGGAGACATGGCTCTATGCTGTCTCTCACCTCAGCCACCAGTGGCTACTCTGCCACCTCCACGTCTTCCTTCAAGGTGAGTTTTCCTGGTACTGTTTACTCGAGCTGAGGAAGTCAGTGGGTACAGTCTTGGATCTGTACACATGAGGGCTCTATTTGTGATGTTTGGATAGTTGTAGATGCACAGGCTGATCATTTTTGTCTGGTTGCATGTTGATAATGTAAACTAAGGTTTATAGCTAAATCTGTTGTTTCTTCAGAAGGGTCACAGCCTGAGAGAGAAGCTGGCCGAGATGGAGACGTTCAGAGATATCTTGTGCAGGCAGGTGGACACACTGCAGAAATACTTTGATAGCTGTGCAGATGCTGTGTCCAAGGATGAACTGCAGAGGGATAAAAGTAAGAACCACAGCCACCCACACACCTACAAAACCATTGCTTTGGTGATCCAGTTTGGATATATATTTTGTCTTTTTAACATTTGAAAGAGAAAAAAAATCCACTTTGTCAGAGCGTTTTAAACTTTTTAAATCAACTTTCTTTTTATGTAGCTGGATTTAAATAGTTGATCATTTCGGGCAAAAAAAAAAAAAACCCCAAACATTTTCGTTTTCAGCTTCTCAAAAATGAGGATTTCTGTTTTTTTTTTTCCCTTGAATGTATTCCCTTCATTTTACCAAAACTTTAGCATTCATATTTTACCTAGAACTGATGATAAATATTTGTTTAGGAGAAACCTGGGCTGGGTCTGGTAAGGAATGTGTTTATGTGCTGTGACTCACCCACCCCTCATACTGTCTTGGCTGGCTGAACATTTGTTCACGGCAGCCTGCACTGGGCACTGTCGTTGACCGCAGTGAATAAAGCTCTGCTTTTGTTCTCCTCACCTCCCTCTCTGCGCCTCTTTGCCTCTCTCACCCTGTTTTCATTCTGAAGATGAAACCGGACCATTGTCATGTTGTGCAGCACAGCAGCGATCTGTCAGTCTGATTTTATCTGTGCTGCAGCTTAAGTTGCAAATGGGCCACTAGGTGCTTTCCTGTTCTGTAGCCCTCACTTTCAGAAGGGTCCTGAAAGAAAAGACTTGCCTGTAGCAACACAAATTTGTTTGGTTTTCTTGTGTTTCCTCTGAATCTTTCTTATGTTTTTTTCCCAGTTGTGGAAGATGATGAGGATGACTTTCCCAACACCCGCACAGACGGAGAGTTTCTGCACAACAATAATGGCAGCAAAGAAAAATGTGAGTATTGCGGGCACTCTCTTTCAGAGAGCCTGTGAACTTGTTTTTAAATGTATTTCTGTCTAGATCACTGAAAAAATACCTAATATCAGGTTGTGATATCACATGTCATTTAGAGTTATCAAAGTTATTTGTTAAAATATTAAAAAATAACTTGTACCAAAAGCTGTTAACTTGCATATAAGAAAGCTCTGAGAAAGGGTAATAGCAGCCAGAGACCAATAGCCAGCATGCTGCAGGTTGTGAGTTGTAAGTTTCTACTTTCAGATCTGTCTGATGTCACTGAGAAAGGAAAGCTTTAGTATTGTCATCTCTGCTTTAATTGAGCCCATGTATTGTGAAACCTCTAGTAAGAAGAGGCTTTAGGAAGTCTAAAGCTTGCAAAATAGTTACATTTACTCAATTTTTTAAGGGACAAAGCCTTAAAAATTATGTTTATTTCTCATAGCATTTACTGTACTTCCTCTGCTCCTCTGATTTGCAGTGTTCCAGTCCTTGAATCCCAAAGGAATCAATGGCATAGATTTTAAGGGAGAGGCCATTACATTCAAGGCTACAACAGCTGGAATCTTAGCCACTCTGTCCCACTGCATCGACCTGATGGTGAAGAGAGAGGACAGCTGGCAAAAGAGACTGGATAAGGTTTGTAATCTCTGGCTCAACAGTGTCCAGATGAGTTTCATCTACAATTCTTGTTTCTTCAAATTTAGGCTTATTTTCTGTGTGTAGGAGATGGAAAAGAGAAGAAGAATAGAGGAAAGCTACAAATCAGCCCTCAATGAGTTGAAGAAAAAGTCTCACTTTGGAGGTCCAGATTATGAGGTAATGTGTAAATGTCATTCACAGTACAATATTAATAATGGCTTATAGGAGAGCCTTTCAGTTAATGTTCTCATTCTACTGGCAGGAAGGTCCAAACAGCCTCATCAATGAGGATGAATTTTTTGATGCAGTGGAAGCTGCTCTTGACAGACAGGACAAAATAGAAGAACAGGTAATCTAAATATCAGAGTACAGTGTACCATCAACTATTTAGATACACTAATTATACACTTAAACACTGTCAGGTCTGTGATTAAAAACACCTGTTTCTGTTTGTGTTTAGTCTCAAACTGAGAAGACAAGAATACAGAGATCTGACGCTGTTCCTCTTGAAGATGCCTATTCAAGCTCCGGCACACACAGATTCTCCAACAAGGTTGTTAAACCCTTCACTCAGATGTCATTACTTGTCATCATCTGTGGACTCATTGTTTGCCATGATAGACTGTCGAATCCTCAGTAAATACAGATGCCCACTTCTTGAATAGGCATCTGCATTTACTGAGGATTTACTAGCAGCATGAAATGCAAGGTCTGATTTTTATTTGTGTCCAATGTCAGACTTGGTAGTACACAGAGAAAGCGCAAATGGGCTCTTAATCTTTTGTGAAAGAAATTCTGTGAATTTTAAAAAAACTTTAATGTTCCAGATTCTATCAGCTTCTGCATTTAGAGGTTTGATTAATTTTTGTTCACATTTCTCATTTGACTTTTCAATTTAATTTCCTTCATTTTGCTAAGGTGTGCCCGATTTGTAGATGTAGGCAATCCAGCATTACTACTAGAGAAATGACACAAAGAAAAACAAGCCTGTGCTCTTTAGTGCAGCAGGCAAATCAACTAATCATCCTCTGAAGAACGGATGGAAACTGGTAAATGGGCTGTGTGGGTTTTTCTGTTACAAACATCGATCATCAATAAGGCAGTTTTGTGGTTTCAGGACACTTTTCTTCATTTCCACTAACAGGGTGCTGTTCTGGAACCTTTTTGAGAACCAGAGCACATTTAGTGAATGTTACATAGCATTTCTAGAGGTTGGGTCCCTTCCTATTGGAAGAAAATCATGGTGGGCAGAATCTGAGAGTGACCTTTACTAATAATTGGTGAACTTGTTGTGGTAGCCCCTCACATATTGTTAAAAAAAAGCTACTCCTTCTTCCTGAACAACACCCAAGTCAGTCGATGTTTTTGCAGACTGGATGAAGGCACTGTACAGCTGTAATCAGTTTCTATTCATATTAATGATAATGAATTATTTCCAATGTTGATAAATGTTCTAAAAGTAGGAAGTTAATATTTTGTCTTTTAAGAGATGGTTTTAAGTTTTTGTCCACATTCTGTTTTTATTAGCCATATATTTACTCTCAATCTTTTCAAACTGATCAGTATCATCTTTTCTTTTTGCTCCTGGCTTTGTGTTGTAGGTGGAGGAGATGGTGCAGAGTCACATGACCTACTCCTTGCAGGATGTTGGTGGAGACGCCAACTGGCAGCTGGTCGTTGAAGAAGGTGAAATGAAGGTATGAGGAAGATTTGAATGTAAAATGGTGCTCGCATGCGTGTTAACTTATTTTGAAAAGGTAAACTGAATTTGTTCTTAAAGTAACATTTATCTAAACCAGTTTATTGGATGACATGTGTTTAAGCCTCATTATATAAGAAAAAGTGATTATGTCTGGATTTCACATAAATGTGGCTTATGTATCCAGGTATACAGGAGAGAGGTAGAAGAAAATGGGATTGTACTGGATCCGCTGAAGGCCACTCATTCAGTAAAGGGGGTGACTGGTCATGAGGTGTGCCACTACTTTTGGGACACTGCCTACCGCAGTGACTGGGAGAGTAAGTTTGTGAACTTAAAATCAATTCAAGTCTAATTTCAGACAATTGTTGCTGTTGTAGTGGTGTGTGAAAAAAAGTGAACTCCAAATGTTCACTTTCATATTTATTTATTTTTTTATATACTCTTTGATCTGTGATTACAAAGAGAGCGGATATGAGATATGTGTGCTTAAGTTGTCTGTGTTTTCTTATTTGGTGGGTGTATCAGAAGCATTACACTATCAGCAGTGACAAACACTGCCATATTACAAGGAAAAGAGGATCCCTGTTTACAAGAAGCAGCCAATCAAAAAAAAAAGCTGGTTGAAAGGGAAGGGGGAGAGAAAATGATTTGTTTGAGATTGAGGCTGAACTTGAGGGCTGCACCAGAGCTCAGTCCTTATTTTAAACTGAATTGTGCAACACTAGTCCAATAGACTGTGGAGGTGGGAACGAGTATAATAAACCCTCTTATAAATGTTATAGTTAATGGGTTTGATGTAATACTGCCTTTTTTTTTTTGCTTCCTTTAGCTACCATTGAAAACTTTAATGTTGTGGAGACGCTGTCGGACAATGCAGTTATTGTATATCAAACACACAAGGTGAGAGCTACAAGCTGAGTATCAAACACTGTATGCAGTGAAGTACACTGTTTTAAGCTACTTAAATACCTCACCATTGATTAGAGCATGAATCATTCTTATCACATCTGAAACAACAAGAAAGAATTTGTGTTGCAGCGGGTGTGGCCTGCCTCTCAGAGGGATGTGTTATACCTTTCTGCCATGAGGAAAATTATGGCCAGCAATGAGAATGATCCAGACACCTGGCTGGTCTGTAATTTCTCTGTGGATCATGATAATGCACTGGTGAGCAGTCAAGCCTCCTGAAATCTGACACAAAGAGCTTCTTCTTTTAAAAAAAATAAATAAATAAAAAATAAATGTGTAATGCTGACACATTTGTTCATTCTCGATCGCTTTCCACAGCCAACCAGCAGGTGTGTGCGTGCCAAAATCAACATTGCCATGATCTGCCAGACGCTCGTCAGTCCACCAGACGGAGATAAAGAGATCAGCAGGGACAACATCCTTTGTAAAATCACCTATGTCGCCAATGGTGTGTGTCACTGTTTTAGCCACAGCTGATGTTAGCAGTCAGGGTGCTGCTTAGTTTGTTTAGTGGGTTACTGTTGTTGTTGCTGCTGTTGTCTTTCTGTCCTTTTGGTTATTATTTTTTAACACAGTTCAACCATTAGAGGGAGACTGGTTTGTGGTTGTGCATCACTGCTGCGAGAGATTGTTCAGTCCTTTTCAGTGGTGTTATCTCCAGAAACTTTTAACTTCATTAGATACAGTTTAATTATTTGATCCCCTGCTAAATCTTTAAGTTTGCTCACTTATAAAGGCATGAACAGTCTCATTTTTATGAATCTGGTGTCCATGAATTTTGCATTTTCACCCAAACATTTAAAATCACCATTTGAGTTAGAATTTGAGTTTAACCAATATAAGTGATTGGTACCTTCATTTAAAACAGCCAATAAATGGAAATTTAAAAAGTAAAGAGATGAAAGAATCACTCTTCAAAGTGTCTTCCCTTTTTGGCAATACATGCTTAGAATGCTACAAACACAACAACCATCTGATCTGAGTAGAGAAGGGCGTGGTGTAAACAAGTTATCCATGACTTGTACAGTAAAATAATAAGTCTAGTAAGTGCACATAGTAAAAGTGAGGGAAATCGCTTTATGTTTGGTTTGTTTGAAAGAAAAAATATATAGTATTTGCATTAAAATCCCATATAGGTCGGGCTCTATTTAAAATTGTTAGTTTGTTCGTTTACTTTACAGCCTCTGGAAATGGCTGAGCACTTGGCAATAGCAGAAAGGAAGAACTCCTTTTTTAACAGGAACAGAGTTGTGGCTAAGGGAGGAGCAACAATCTGCCTTTTTCATTTTTTTAACATCTCGTTGAGTGCCAGATTTTTATGCCAACATCTTACTGCTGGGGCTCATATTTTTCTCTCTTTACCATAAAGTAGACTTTCTGCCAGCGGGCCCAAACAAAGAGCCATGCAAACGTAATGACTTTAAACTGAAAGCTACCTACATATGTTCACTAATTATGGTAGGTTGTATCAATGCTTAATGTATGAAAATGGGGTTAACCATGATTCAGTGCTCTTTCTTTACTGTATGCTTGAAGCTGGAAATAATCTTTATGTCGTCTGTGTGCAGTGAATCCAGGAGGCTGGGCTCCTGCCTCTGTGCTCAGGGCCGTGGCTAAGAGGGAGTACCCCAAGTTCCTCAAACGCTTCACCTCCTACGTCCAGGAAAAAACTGCTGGCAAACCCATCTTATTCTGAAGCACACAGGCAAGACATCACACACAAGTGTTCCAATGTTTTGTGTGTGTTTTTTGCCACTGAATACTTGTTGACTACAAATGCAACAAATCAACACAAAGCATCTCCATTTTTTTCAGTGTTGAAACGCAAGGCCAGAACTTCACCTGAAGCTTTAAGCACACACTGTAAGCAAACTGTCAGCTGCTGTCCTCAACAGGATTTATTAAAGTTCCCCTCAGGAAGGGGTTAAAGGGCTCCCACCCTTCCTGATTTCTGAATTCAAATAAAAATATGTTGACCTCAAATAATATAATCTCTGAAATGGGACTTCATTTAGAAAATGATGGCCTGCAGTCATTCAGACTTAAACGATTGTAACCCAGAAAGGATTTCCAAATGTCTCTCTTGAGAGATACCCGGCCAGCTGTGAGCCAGTTAGTTCTTGTCCCTGCAGCAGCACTTAATGCTATCTTTAACCCTCATTTAAGAGACTGAACTATCAGGTTGTCTCTGTTTAGAGAGAACAAATGATATAAATCTATGTTCTGTAAGGTTGTAAAAATAAACAGAAATGTTAGATAATTGAAATTAAATATTCAGCTCTGGTTCGATGTTTATTTTTTCAAATACCTAACTCGTACATTTACAGCTTTCCTTTAAGCTGCTCACATTTCCTAGTTAAACAACATAAATGATTTGAGCCAACTGTAATCTTTTCTAAAGGTTACAGAGGTCCAGAGGGCTGTCATTCACACATGACCCCTATGACATTAAAACTTGATCTGACTTGTGCTCTCTGATGAAGACGCCTCTTTTTGGTTCTGAAGGAGGGACAGGACATCATGTACGTTACCTGTATTGCTTTATAGTTACATCACTGTTAATATGTTGGAGTGTCTTTGAACATATTTCAAGTGTTTCATGAATTGTAATTAGTGACATTAGCATTTTTGCTGAAGATCTGCAAAGCTTTTTCTTTTTTTTTTTTTTTTTTTTTTTTAAACTTGAGCCCAAATGCCTTAGTTTTCCAGCAAACTGTAGATCCAGACTTGGATAAAGAGGGTGCTCTTAGTGTACCCTTTGAAATCACTAGTGAAGTGCCTCATGGCTATGCTCCCCTTGTTAATGTTTAATTAAAGCTTGAATGAACCATGTGATATGTTACAGAAGGCTGGCAGGATGCTTTCACAAGTATTCTGAAGATTTCTGAATCATTTTTGGATTAATTTTACTAGAAGCCATCAACTTTTCTGTCAGGATTTCTGGGATTTAATTAATCAGTTAAAATGTCTTTGTATCATGTATTTTCTGTCTGAAGATGTCGATTGTACATGTACAGGACTGTTAAGTCTATAGAGTTAAGTAAGACTCTGCTTAGCTTAAGTAGAGTTTTTCTTATTAGTGACGCACCAAAATATCGGTACCTCCTGATATTGGCCTTGTTGGCCGATATAGTGACGTCATTTGCCGATATTTTCCCGTTATAGAACGCGGTGTGATGAAGAGATCCACGACTTTAAAATGGGTTGGTTCTTTTTATAATTGTTTGTTTCCCTGGGCAAAAGGGGAATAAATAATCAAAAAGACAAACTACTGGCACCAGCCATTGCTGTTGGCCATATTGTTTTTGGTTCACAAGAAGTGCATCCCTGTTTTGTTTTGTTTTTTCTAGGAACAGTTTTCATGCAATACGTTGCTAAACATTTAAGTAAATGTAAAAATGTAAATGTTAAAAGCCAAGTTCTTTTTGTCAAGCACACGGGATGGATAAAGATTTATTTTCCCTACAAGTTTCAAATTTAAGATATCAGTATTGTTGCCAGGGTACTTCTTTTTTTTTCTTCTTTTTTTAAGTTGCATTTTCACCTGTTGAGAGCACAGTGTTTTTTTTTCTTTGTTTTTCTGGGGTGGTGTCATTGGCAGATTTGTAGCTGTTTCAGGCTTCACACAAAAGCATTGAATTTTTTTCAAGCTTTTTGCTGAAAAATGTGTTGGAGATATAAAATGATGCTCAGCCACGCAGCTAAGAGTAACAACACCATGCTGAAGCTCATTCAGCTAAAACAGGCATTTGTAATACAGGTTTGTCAAATCCGAATGTAATTAGATTTTTTTTTTTGTAAATCTGTTCATACTTATGCTGTGGGATCAACTTATAAATGTACTGTGATAACATGGCTCTGCCCTGTTTTTAAAGTGAAATAAATAAGTTTATCCTCCAGTTTGTAATGTTTGGGGTCATTTGTTGCCATTTTCTGTATTTTGTATGTCTATAACATAATTCTGTTGGCTCCATAATGTAGTGGGTTACACATTTACCTAACAAGTGAAAGAGTCCTGATTTGATTCTTGGAGGAGACACTAAATCCCTTCGGGGTTGTATGATGAAGGGCATCCACTGCATTTAAAAAAACAAACTGCCAAGGCACCCATTTGAACATAAAATTACTTTTCATTTCAAATGAATAAACTATGTGCATAGAATCACCAGTTATTAAAATAACTTAGCTTTACTCCCATATTAGGTTTTTAAAAAGCTTTTTCTTTTCTCCTCCTGGAAGTCTAACGCAGTCTTTACTGTGTTAGAATAGATTTCATGTCAGGCTTCTTCAAGTGCCTCGTCTCTCTAAGCCTGTATTTGACTCAGTTTGTTCATCTGCTAACTGGAAAAGCCCCCAAGTGTTGATTCCAGTCTTGTTAATGTTAAAGAAAGACAAACACAGTATTGTCAACAAAAAAAATGTGTCATTTATTTATTTTTTAAATAAGACAGTTTTAAGTTTACTTTTATCATAATTGGTTATTCTAAAGTGTGCAGCACAAGGCTCAATTTCTAAAACATACTGTGTGTAAGGGCACTTCTGAGTGTCACTGCTTTCTGAAAATGAGCAGGACCTGCAGTCAGTGATAATTTATACCCAGTCCTTCAGTTCCACAGATGACAGTGTACTGTAAAGATTTATTAAATTATTATGGCTTACAATTTTCCTCAAACTTGTAAAAGTAGTTGATCAGAATCTGAACCAAACACATCCTTCTGCTGGCAACAGCTTCATTCATTGAAGCGAGAATTCCAACAACCACGGGCAATCTACGGTATACACAGTATACAGTAGCACCTTCACTCAGGGAGGGATGAACATGTCTACGTAGTGATGCCTACAACACTGGTAAAAACACATTTGCACATAAAGTTGACTTTCAGAACCTGAGCACAAGCTGCCCACTACACTCTCTCAAGCAAGCTTTTGATAAATGCAAAGATCCATTTGTCCCAAAAAAATAAATAAAAACGATGATGACTGCCTGAGGATCTCATTTCATTCAGCTCATGTAAAAACCATTCAGACATCCCATCCATCCTTTGCGACCCATCATAGATAGGCACAGGACTCTTGTTGTAACTTGTGCGGCATGATGGATTTTACTTGTCTAAACACCAGTCTCTCGCACTTCTCTCAAAGATCAGTAGCAGAATTAACAGGTTCTCAAACAATATTACAAAGTTCAGATGCAGAAAAATGGCACAAATTAACAAATCAAAATTTAAGGCCTCAGCTCACAAACCAGTGAGGTAATAAAACAAAGCGAGCACATGTTCTGTTCATTAATACTGTGATATCTGGATGTCCACAGGTTCGCTTTTAGAACCGCATCACGACGGCCCATCGATGTTAGTGTCACGCCGTATTCTCTGAACATAGGTTTGTTTTCGATCTAAGAGACAAAAAAAAAGAGATCATTTCAAAGTGGACACAATAAAACACTTTAGCAGATATCAACAAAGGAAAACTTCAAGGTGATCATTTACATAATAAGTACGGGCTATTTTGGATGCACTCTGGAAAAACCAGACTTCAAAACATTTTTTAGGAACAAAATGTAGAGGCTCTGGATTTTACATTTGAAAACAAGAGACTTTAAAGATATGACAAAACCCCACAAAACCTCATGTGGCATGTCATGTGATCTGTGTATATCAGGTGATTGTGCACACACTTAAGGTTTTGTAAGTGAGAGGGATGTTGCGTGTAGTTTTAGACATTTAAATGCACAAAAAGGTTTTTGAAAGAAAAAAATTGCCTGATTTGTGATGTTAAATTTAAGACATTGTGTAGTAAATAATCACCTTTTTTCCAGGTTTGGATGCATTTGTTAAAAAAAAGTTTTACTTGTGGTCAAATTGCTTTGTATTTCTTTGTGGATTGGAGCACACATTTGTGAGGCCTTTGTAATCATTTTGAGGCAAAAATATATCCTTCTAATAAGTAAATTGAATTTCTTTGATAACTTATCCTGAAGGGCTAATTGTAAAAACTACACAACGTATTCATTTAGCCGAATACACAATTGTGATCACTCAGTCTTCACCCTGAAGCTCTGACACTGATGAGTCCGTTGACTTTACACGAGCAGCCTGTCCACGTTTTTGATTGGTCAGATGCTGACAGCAACACACCTTTCACAATAACATTCACACAGCTGTATTGGGAAACTCTGGTTTGACTAATTGGATTGTGGTTAACCACCTTGTGAATGCTTTGCTCTCTGTCAGTCAGGGTAAGTAAAGCCATATAATGAAAGGAGATGCTGGTTATGTTATGCTTGCTTCTTAGAACAGACATGTCAACACATTTTCCTAAAGAACACACGACATGAAAATAAAACGGCACAAATTCTCAAATTTGACCAGGCATCACTGTAAAAAACCCAAAAGAATGAGACATCTCACCTGTTGTGGGTCATGTGGCTCTTGACTAGGTGTCCAGCAGCGAGAGCAGCCATCAGGGAGAGCTCTCCTGCCAGAACGGTGGCACAGACTACACGGGCCAGCTGACGGGCATTGTCACCTGGCTGGTTGGGATTGCTAACACCAAGCATCTGCAGGTACAGAGGTTTTGTGTTAGAGGGGAAAAAAATATCCTAAAAACTCATCAACAAATGCCAGCTATGTTACATGTAGTTGAGACTACCTGCAGACAGGCCTGCTGTGGCGACAGGTTGGTGCCTCCTCCCACAGTGCCGAGCTCTATAGAAGGCATAGTGCAACTGATGTACAGGTCCTCCCCACCTGGACCGACAGCCTCCATCTGAGTAATGCAGTTAGAGCTTCCCACTGTCTGAGCTGGGTCCTTAACCACAACACAAACAAATACTTGTTCTTTAATAATATGTCTTTTTGTTGGATCATATACCATACCACAGACAGAATGTTTCACTATTTAAACCTTTTTTTAAATGTATTTATTTTATTTTTTTTGTGTTAATTTAAGGTTCTATTACTTGTCCACAGGCAATGTAGATAGCAGCGACAATGTTGGCAGCATGAGCATTAAAGCCACCTATACTGCCAGCCATGGCTGAGCCCACCAAGTTCTTGTTTATGTTCAGGTCCACCAGAGCAGCTGTGCTGCTCTTCAGCACCTGGGGAAACATTAAAGGGTGATTTTACAAACTGCCGAAAAACAGAAAAACTGGAGGGGAAGAAACTGTGGCCGCTGTCATTAGATTTCTGTCAGGATCCAGCTTTGAATTGTTTTTACCTCTCTCACAACTTTAGCAGGAATGGTGGCCTCGCATACAGCGGACTTGCCTCGGCCCAGAATCCAGTTGATTGCGGCAGGTTTCTTGTCTGTGCAAAAGTTGCCACTGAGCGAAAGCACCTCTACGTCTGGATGCTGCTGCTGGAGTACATGCAGAGCATGCTCAGTGCCCTGAAGAAAAAGACACAGAAAGCATTCAGCACTGAAGTCAACATTTAAATAACAGGACCGAATTACAGAAGACTTCTCATACCTTCGAGAGCATGTTCATACCCATGGCATCGCCTGTTTGAGACTGGAAGCGAATGTATAGGTTTCTGCCAGCTATGCCCACCAACAATTTCTCCAGACGAGCAAACCTACAAAGAGTACTCACTAGTTATCATGTGTGTACCAAAAACACTTTTCCACAGTCATCAATCAGTCATAGCTCTTCCACTGACCTGCTGGTCTCATCAAATGCCTCTTTAATCATGCTAAATCCGTCCGAGGTCTCGAGCCAGACTTTGACCTCTGCTGCCCGGCACGCTGAGGGCAGCCTGACCAGAGGACCCCTGGTCATGCTGTCAGCTAGAATCCGGCTGATGCAACCCCCACTCAGCTGGACAGGAAAGAAAACACTGTCAGCAGGGAGCACACACAGAAATAACAGCAGCCAGAGTTACATACAATAATTTTCCATTGCAGTGAGGATGACCTTTTTTATGACCTTACATCCTCTAAACCTGGCTGCGTATAGGAGGGCAGTAAAAGTCCAAATCAGTTTCACTACCTGCCATTCAATGAGCCATACCATTTTAGTTTTGGTTCATAAATTGTTTGGGGTTTTTTACCCAAACCACACTTTACGTTTTTAGATTTAGGTTAGTTTTTAAAATAACCATCTTTCTTGAGCATTGTAGTGACATCACACAGACCCAATAATTAAGGGCAAAGTGCACAACACCTCTCCAGGGTTTTGCCACAATGACTCACATGCACAGATTCGCTAAGTAAAAACAACATCAACTGAACTCCCAAGCCTAGCAATTAATTACTCACTTTATCAGCTGAGACCATTTATAGAGGATGGACGATAGCCACACTGATATCAGAAATCTAGTTTTAAATCGGTATGCTGAGTGCTTTCACAATTGCTGCCTTGATGTTTTGAAATGAGTCAGTCAGAAGAGAGCCACACCACAACCTATAAACTGCTTTAATCTCTTTTTTGACTGCAATGGAAACCTGCAACTGAAGCTAATAACTCCTCAGGAAAGTCTTTACTGAGGTCACAGATCAACTACTTATTTTAGCAATCAGATTCACTGCCACCTGCTGGTCATTAGACAGAACGCAGAATTCACAAGTGGCCAGACATCAGACATTATATTGCTGGCACGCCACAAATTTACACACGATTTTCTGGTCAGTGATGTTTCCTCCGCCCAAACACTGAAGTATTATTTACTACATATAGAGTTTTTTAAGTCCATGCTAACTGAACCACATAACCTTTTATATTATTAATCTTTCTTGACTGCCATTGCCAAATTCTATGACTTGTCAGTTTTTCCATGAATCTACAAACCCTGTAGATTTATTTATTTGCATCTACTGAAAAGATAGTTACTATTCCCTCAGGGCTCCACATGAGACACACTTACAAAAAGTGCCCTGCATCCTCGGTTGGTGCTGG